GTGTTTTAATTTTAACCTACTAACTTTGATAGTTTTTACACCCTTGGTTCACTCAAAGGGCCAATCTCATGGAAAATTGACTTTTTTTGAGCTTTTAACTGTTCTAATTCTATTCCTTCATCAGAGTTATGCACAAAGTGGCATTTTGTTTGATTAATGCGTCTGAGTTTTGATGTGTGAGCAGCAATCCCTCCCTCACCTGTGAAAACAAGTGTTTGGAGAGTATTTACATAGAGCAAGGGTCTCCCAAGAATACACCTACCTAAACTATGCTGTGACAGCAATGTAAACAAACGTCCTCCTACCATCAGGGAGGGGTTATGTGAGGTGTAGTGCAATATTTCCGCCTCAAAGTTAAGACCAGTTGGCTCTTTTAGCAGCTAATCTGCACAGAGTACAGTTTTTCATTTTAAGCATATGTCTAAGTCCTGGAAATCCGTTTTTTTTTTATTTGGCATCTGGTCTCAGACTTTGGTGTGATATGGCCGTGTTAAAATAGGCAGATCATAAAGAGGGAGATGAGGCGCAGGATTTTTTCTAGGTAAGAAGAAAACTCCTATATTTTGAAGTGAATTAATACCCATTTAGTTGTAAAGGCATTATTAGAGTAGAATAGGAGGCAGATCATTTAGTTATCAGGCTCCTCTCCTGCATCAACTACCAGTTTTAGTCCTTGAGGCAGAAACCCTGTCTACTTTTAAAGTTTAAATCTTTCTTTTTTGATAAAGCTTACTCAGGTTATCCTAAGCTATCTCTACAGTTATGCTGCGATAGGCTTAGACTGCTAACTATAACTATAGAGATAGCTCAGGATAACCTGAGCCACTCTAACTATAAGCTTTATCAAAAAGGAAAGTTTTAAGCCTAGCCTTAAAAGTAGACAGGGTGTCTACCTCACAGACTAAAACTGGTAGTTGGTTCCACAGGAGAGGAGCCTGATAACTAAAAGATCTGCCTCCCATTCTACTTTTAGAAATTCTAGGAACCACTAGTAAACCTGCAGATTGAGAGCAAAGTGTTAGGAACATAAGGAACAATCAGATCTCTGATATCAGATGGAGCTTGGCCATTTAAGGCTTTATATGTGAATTCTATTCTGGATTTAACAGGAAGCCAATGAAAAGAAGCCAGGATAGGAGAGATATGATCTCTCTTTTTCATTTTCATCATAACTCTGGCTGCAGCATTTTGGATCAGCTGAAGGCTTTTAACTACAGTTTGTGGACTTCCTGATAGTAAAGAATTACAATAGTCCAGCCTTGAAGTAACAAATGAATGGACTAGTTTCTCAGCATCACCCCTGGACAGGAGATTTCTCATTTTTGCAATACTCTGCAGATGAAAGAAGGAAATTCTAGAAACCACTTTGATATGGGATTTAAATGACAGGTCCTGATCAAAAGATTTTTTAACTTTATTATCTGAGCTCAGTTTAATCCCAAACAAATGAAGTGACTGACTAATCAGCTTCTTTTACAAAGACTCTGATCCAAAGTCTATAACTTCTGTTTTGTCTGCATTCAGAAGGAGAAAGTTAAGAGTCATCCAGGTTTTAATGTATTCAAGACATGCCTGTGATCTATGTAATGGGTTAGCCTCATCTGAATTTATAGAAAGATATAGCTGAGTATCATCAGCATAACAGTGAAAATGTATCTCTTGGTGTCTAATAACTCCTGGACTGCTGGCCTGAAAAAAATCTCCCAGTCCAGCCCTGATTGTGGTCCACTGTCTCTCACAATCTCTAACACTCTGCTACTAAGGGCTCTGCCTGTATTATGTATTATGTATTATGAGTCAAAAAAGCAGTAAGAGTTCTTACAGCTTCAAGAACAAGACCAAACTTGTCATTATTTGTGGAGAAAGCCAAGTAACTGGCCATACAGCCCCTTTCTAAGGCCACACAGAGCTGAAGATTATAATCACAGAGAGAAGTATTACTGTAGAGATTAAATGACATCCAGAGAAGCTGTTGTAGGCGTAGAAATATTTATGCCAAGGGCAGTAATGCTCCCACTGAAGTTAAGAACTTCACTTTGCCCATGTGAATCAAAATGTTGTAGGAAGAAGAGCATGGCAGCACCAATGAATGCAGGACTAAGACAAGGTGTATTTTACCAACTGCGTTCATGGTCACTTTACTGTAGTAATAGATGTTGTTCTAGAATGCAAAGTAAATTTAGGAATTCAAAAAGAAAGCAAGTAATTCCATGATCTCCATGATGTAATTCAAACTCTGACCTTCCAGTGGCATAACTGTAAATTTGGAAATAAAGAGGAGGGACATGGTTGGTGATATGGTTTGTTAGAAACTGTTAAGATTGTTTGGTGTTAAGACGTTTTTTCCTGCAACATTACTCCTGCAGCAGACTAAATGATAAGGACAGGATGGATCCATGATATCATGTTGTTTACATCCCCTGCTGTGGCTAAAGGTCGCTACTGGAACAGAGACCCATCAGACCTGGCAGCTTATTTCCAAACCTGTTTTTATCTGTGAAAACTTCCGGACCTAGGTTCTTCTTAGCTGACAGAAAAAGGCACCTGATGTGGTCTTTTTCAATGAACCTGTCAGAACAACTTTTTCTCAGACATTATTAAGGCACCTTTGTCTGAGCATCCACTACCTCCACACACCCACCCACACACTCACACCTGTTTTTTCTGTTTTCACCTAAATTTAATAAATGGTTGTGTAAAACTCCCACTATATCAACATTTTGGAAATACTTAAACAAGCCTATATTGCACAAAAAAGGATGCCATGGTTACAGTCACCTAACTCCCCTGTTTTCCCAATTCTGATGCTCATTTTGAATTCAGTCTTTTTAAACACAACTAATTGCTTTAAAACATTGAGTGTGCTAATTAAAAAAAAGGCGTTAACAGCCAGGGAAGTCACTGGTAAACAAATGACAGAGAAAATGATTGGACGCTTCTATGGGGTGAGGAAAATTGGAGGCATTTAGGTTAGTTGATGGTATTTTGAAAGAGTGGATGGTATGGGGGAGCCAGAGGGTGAGGATGTATGATAAAGTGTGACCAACACTACAAAACATGGCTTTTATTAAGCAACAAAGTAATTGGTTCTGGCTTAACTGTAACATAATTTATTCAGAGAAAGATGTTGGCTGTCAAAGAAACAAAAAACAAAACCCAGACAATGACAATCTCCTCTTCTAAGAGAGAACGGGATAAAGCAATAATGGTTGCAGTTGGACATTTTTGGTGCTCATTGGACTTCTTTCTAAGCACACTGATGGTTGTCTGTCTGTCGATACATTTGCCCGTTTAATAGAAACCTGTAAAATACTCCCCAGGGTAAGGAAGGTTATTTCAGCCACTTGTATCCTGTCGTTTCAGTCATGATGTGTGTCTTAAGACCATACCAAGGCTGAATTTGCTTTTGCCTCAACTCTCTCAACTCTCTATTATCTACAGCAGATTTGAACAGCACCTACATTATGACAGATTATGTTTCAAACTGTCACTTCCTCTCCCACTACTGATTCTTATACTTTCTCCTTCATTGCTAGACTTCATACCACTCCTCTTTCTGCCATTTTTCTTTACCATACTGTTGGTGAAATTTCTCAGTCATCCAGCCCATAAAAGAAAATGAAAATCAATCCACTGGACTTTGTTTCCAAGTTTGAAGATGTTTCGCTTCCCATCCAGGAAGCTTTTTCGATACAAAATGTGAGGAATAGCATTGAGTTTGATTTTTTATACAGTAGCAAACTGGAACGGACGGAGGGGTCCACCCATTTGGAATGGAGGTTGTTTGGCTTATTTGTTAGAATGCAGTGCCCCATAGCCGTCTAAGTGTCTGAAACTACCTTTAACGACCAACCTTTCAGAGACTTAGACAGGTATGGGGCATTGCAGTCTAACAAAAGAAGCCAAACTACCCCCATTCCAAAGGGGTGGACCCCTTTGTCTGTTCCAGTTTGCATGTTTTCATAACAAAACAAGGCTTTTTTATGCTACTGTATAAATTAGGGATGCACAATATAATCGGCCCCCTATCGGTATCGGCCTGTATCGGCCTTTAAACTGAATATCCGACATCGGCCACCCCACCGATATTTAACCCGATATTTGATCAGCTTCTGAGTTTCTAAAGTCTAAAAAAAAAAAAAAAAAAAAAAAAAAAATACTACTTCTTCTTCTTCCTCAAAAACTAAAAAAAAATATTGATACATTAAAATATCACAATATCTTCATATGCTGATATATTGCCATTTAAAAACATCATATCAATCTCTTTTACTAATGAAATGTTGCTATATGTCATCATTATGCTACAAAATCCCCCGAAAATTCACGAAATCTTGCCATATTTTTATATGTTGATATATTGACTCGGTATCGATCTATTTTACTAACAAAATCTCACAAGAATTTGCAAAATATCACGAGAGTTTGTAACAGAACGATGAAATTTCACGAGATTTTAAAAAGTAAAATAGATCGAGACCACGTTTTTAAAAATCTATTTGATATCAGCATATGAAAATATATTTGAGTATATTATTTTTCAAAGTGTCAGAAATGGATAATAAAACTGCTATTTCAATGACTACTTATTTTTGTCCAGCTTTAACATCGGTATCGGTATTGATTATCGGCTACACGAGTTTTAAAATATCGGGATATCGGATATCGGCCAAAATTCCAAAATCGTGCATCCCTTGTATAAATCCTCAAATTCAACGCTATTCCTGACATTTTTAATTGAAAAAGCTTCCTGAATGCGAAACTGAACGTCTTCAAACATGGAAACGAAGTCCAGTGGATTCTTTTTCATTTTCTTTTTTGGAATTCACATTCTGCCATTTTACATGTCAATAACCGTACTACGCAAATTAAATACCATCAATGTTCAATTTTAAGTAATAAAATCCTGATAGCTCATCAGTGAAAGGGTTTTTTGTGATAATACTTGTTATACTAACAATTATTCTAACTCTATTTTCATTTTCTCTGTTGCTATTTAGATTTTGAGTGGAGCTACTTTTGGTCATGGAGTCGCTTCGTGGACTACGTTCAGTGCGTGCTGGCCTTCACGCTGGTGGCAGCCTACATCACCTACCTCCTACTGGACTCCACGCTGTTTGTGGAGACCTTGGGCTTCCTGGCGGTTTTCACCGAGGCAATGCTCGGAACGCCGCAGCTCTACTGCAACTATCAGAACAAATCCACAGAAGGCATGAGGTAAGGACTTAAAGTAAACCGATACAGAGCTTTTGATAAAAGTTGAGGAGGAAAGAGGATTTTGCCTTGGTGTGGAGAAAAATGAAACCCAGATGACTCTCATACAGCTTGTTACATCTCTAAAAAAACTCTCTTAGATGAAACTATAAATAAATATTTTCCCCTTTTTTTTTTTAGCTTTTTTATACAAGAAGCTGTATGGCAATGTTTAGAGTTGGATTACTGCTTTCTTATGGTGATACAAGAAATACACCATTAATGGAAGATGAATAATTCCTGGTGAATACAGCCTGCAGTTTGAGGCATCTCAGATTGTTGGATGTGAGTTTTTGTTTGTAAGATTAACTAAATAAAAATCCCAAACCCCGCACTGGAAACTCAAAGCATCAGAGGTGAACGCCAAGATTCAAGCCTTTGATTTTTTTTTCCAGAGTACAGCAGATTTCTGTACTGGTGTTTGGACTGAATCCTCCTCAGTATTATGTATAACCAGTGTTTTGCTAATCTTTGGAGAGATGGAAGTTCAGATAGACGAAGAGAGGGTGTTTTTTTTTAAAGCTGCTTTCTTGCTGGAGGTGTGCTGCTGATCCATGTTCTTTTAAAACATCCCTAAGGTGGTTGTTAAGTTTCATTCAGACAACATCCGGTCAGGTATTACTCCTCTCTTTTGGAAAAAGTATATTTCTTGAATTTGTAGGGTATGCAATCTAAAAGTTGAGACTTGAGAAGGGTTCCCATCATCTCCCCGGGGGATAGCTGGCAGCAACACATTGTTTAGAGCAATCAGTCAAAAAGTTGGAGAAAAAAACAACACTAGGTATCTAATTAGACTTTGCTTCCTTCCTTGTTGTTTTCCTTAAAGCTAGAAGGCAGCATTGTCTGTTGACGCCATGACAGTGTGGAGAAATGTAGGAGTAGGTTCCCTCGACTATAAAGGCTGAAAACATCCTTAGGCACACACTCCGGAGCAACCCAGACTTATTCTCCTCAAACACATCTTTTCTCTCGTTGCTCCTCAACATATTAATCCAAACCTCCAGGATCAGTTGGTGGTTTTGCCAAATTTGAGACAAGCCTTTTAGTTCTGAAGCGTACACTGCGAGCAACACAGACTTTCATACATTTCTCATGGCAAAATCCTTAAGTTGGGGAAGATTCTCAGTCATCCAGGTCATAGTCATTCCAAAAAAAGAAAATCACAAACAATCCACTGGACTTTGCTTCCAAGTTTGAAGACGTTCTGCTTCCAGTCAAGGAAGCTTTTTCACTTCAAAATGTCAGCAGTAGCGTGAGTTCGAGGTTTTATACAGTAGCCCAACAAAGCCTTGTTTTGTGAACAAACAGAAAGGGAGGTGGTATACACAATGCAGACCTATGAGTGCCTGTCCTCTGGGCACATCAGTGATGTCTTGACTAATACTCAATGTCGCATAGAAAACATGTATCTTTGTCGGACATCTGTACAGAGTCACCGCTGAGTAGGGAAACAGACATCTGCAGAGTTAAGGTCTCCCAACTATGTTGGAGGCTTTGGTCTGCAGTGGTTTTCTCTATAAAACTATGAATACCATTACTTCTTGTCCCTTTCTTATGCTAAATAATAAACTATAAACTAAATGGAGGTAAGTGAGGCCTGCAGGGCTTTAAATTCTGTTCTAGGTTCTGTTCTTGATGAATGTCAGTGTTAGATAGCTATGAGGTTACTTTGCTTTGAATCTAATGTTGACTTAATGCAGGTAAGGTCTTCATGTATTCAATCTTTTAAGTTTGTTGCCTTGTGCCAATTTATAATATATGTAATCTCAATATCATATAGATAGACAATTGTTTTGACCAATTTTTTATTTTTATTTTTTTGTATTGGCATTGGCCAATACGTGCATTTGTGAATTGTTGATTCATTAGTGCACAGTAACCGGCAGAGGACGATTTGACTGTAAAGGCTGATTTATACTCAGAAACCAGGTTGTCTGCGTGTGAGTCGCATTGAACGCAGAGACGTCCCCGCCCCTTCCGCAGACACTCTATTGCACCTCTCCCAAATTGTAGGTGACCGCAGACAGGAGGCCTCTGATTGGTCAAATCTACATCTGCTCTACTGTAAGCGTATTTCCTGTTTGGTACCTTACCGGCTTGTTTTGTTTGTTTGAGTGCCATTGTGGAAAACGACTCGTGAAGATGGACCAGCTAGAAGAGCGAGAACGCTGCAACCCTTTTTCCACCTGGATCCCTGCTCTTTTTCGCCCTCATGTTCCTCCGTTGTCACACAAACTTCCCCCATTTCCTCACTTCCTCGGCCGGATCTAGACCCACAGCTAGTTCCTGATTGTCCCTCTTGCGTTGTGGCGTGGAATAACATAGCGCAGACCACGCTTCAAAATTGGGCATAAATCAAAAATGTCTGCATCATACCTGCGATAAGCTGCTGCGGGAGTAGAACCAGCCCTTAAGTCTATCCTTTTTTCAATTTCAGACTTGGCCAGGAAGTTGGGGTGATGGGGGCGCTGCAGCACCTCCTAGTGGCGACAGGAAGATTAATGTATTAATGTATTGAAAATACTTTGCACAATTTATAAGTTTGTGCACAGTATTTTGGATTTTTTATTTTACTATTATGCGTATTTGGTTTGAATTTAATTATTTTGAGGCCTAATTAACACAATTTCACGGTAGTGATCCTGTGTTCTTTGTGTAATGGATGTGGAGAACTGTTCAATAACATTTAAATAGTATAATATAATCTTGTGGTATGCATAAAAGGATTTTGGAGCTAATAGAGCCACGTGTGACATAAACACAGTGACTCAGGTTCATGCCAAATAACCAAATCAACGTTGTTATAGTGTTATTGTGAAGTTTATTTAATAGCGCAGATATTTACCTTAGAACTGGTTATATCTGTGTGTTACACACCCTGGTTGCGTGCAATGAAGTGTATATGACAATAAAGTAGCAAATCTCAATCTATTTATTTATATTAATTGTATTTTAAATAGGCAAATAGGCTCATAGGTCTTTAGTGCAAAAAAAAAAAAGAAAAAAATGTATAGACAGCACCCCCTTTTCAAAATGGCCGTCAGACTCTCATGTCAATCGGAGGCAAACCTCAAGCATTAGTTGTGTCTGTTAGTAAAACAACTTTCTCCTGATGAAGAGATGTTTTATTAATGAGTGCAACTTTTAACTCTGGCGGCACCTTTGGGTTCTATGTGCCGTCACACCAGCTGAGCGCTACCTTGGTAATGATCTTACTGTCTCCTGAATCATCATTAACATTAACACGTACATTTGAGGGGTTTTTTGGATGCTGATGAGTTAGAAATAAGGTAGGGAACCCTGAAGTAGGCGTTTAGTAGGCGTATATGTAAATGATCCAACTTAAAATTCAACATGTTAACTGTGTTTTGTTAGACTAATGTTTCATTTAGGATCGTTAATGCATGAAGTCTTAGGCTGTAATTAGCTGCTTTGATGTAGCGTTGATTTCTTTCTTTGTTAGAGCGTGTGGGTGTAGATTTACAATCTGCTGTGATGGCTCCAGGAGAGCTTTGAAACTTTAAATGTGGAGCTTTTTTAAATCGAAAACTAACGCATCATCAGTGGATTCAAATACAAATATAATTTTGGTTGCATAATTAAACTGAATTTAATTAAATGTTGAATATATTACGGTAAGAATAAACAGGGGTTGTTAGAGAGACAATGTCTGAACTTGAGTTGGAAAAGTGTCCGGCTCTTTCCTGCCTCTCTGCTGGTTTGGCTTTCAGGATCAGACGGATAACTGAGCTCCAACAGGCATGCCTGTCCATTTAGTGCCCCCCCGACAGCTCCCACGCTGTGCCTATCCATATCCTCTCCGTCTTCAGCCTGATTTTTTATTCTTTATCTAGAATCTACAAGGCCCAGGAAAGCACTCTGAATCATCTTGGCAGCAGGTCATCCTGGATTTTCCTGCTCTAAAAGCTGTAGTTCTGCAGTAGAAATGTTTTTTCTGGCTGTTTTATGCATTGCATGAGGAAGCATGTCAGCAAAGCTGCAGATCTACACAGACAGGGCAGCCATGCAGAGCTTTGGTGGCAACTCTAACTGCATTTGGTTATCAAACAGGGGTTGACGTTAAGGATTTTTACCACTTGCCCTTTGGGCAAGTGACTTTCACATTTCATTTGCCCAGAAACAATTTTTACTTGCCCAGTATAATGTTTAATAAATATAGTTCCTAATATTCATTTTTGTATATATATATATATATATCAATGAAACATGTTTGTTTTTTAAGTGTTTTTTGTATTTCAGTTTTTTTTAAGTTTACAGGTTCCTGGTGTGTATATGCATGCGTCAGATAATGAACTCAAGCCTACATTACCGTGTTAACATGCTTTTCAATCCTTCCTGCACATTCTTTTTAAAACTAAACTTTGCTTTAAACTGTTGTGTGCTTGGAAAAATATCAATTGTAATGTTAAAAATAAAAAAAAAACTTAAAACTTAAGATAAATCACAAGACAGAAGTCAATGTCACAAATGAATAACTTATTTTAGAGTCACGGTATGTTTATACAAGATAATACTATTAATATAATGTGACTTTTCTAGAGAATCATTATACAAAGTTATTTTATACAGGGTTTCCACAATCTTAGATCATTTCAGAATTCCCTGACTTTTAACTATGGATTAGTTTTCCCTGACAAAATAAATGCAGCAACAAGACAATAACAACATAACAGGTCACCAATTTAAAGCTACAGTGTGTAATAATTACAGGGATATACAGTCAGAAATGTAATATATTATACATAACTATGTTATTTATCATCATCTACGAGCTCAGCCTCTTAACCTTAATATTTGCGTTGCCTTAGAATTCGTTATTTATAATTACATAGGAGCGGGTCTCGCAGCCATGGAGGCAGACATCTTTGCGCTACGGCAGCGCAGAGCCAACAAACTAGTGATTGCGAGATCGCCCATTACGCTCGAAAGTAACTACGCCAAGT